GGGTCCTGGAGTCAGATGCCTGCATGTGAATCTCAGTTCTAGCACTCACTAGCCATGTGACTGTGAGCCCCATGTTTTTTAGCACCACTTGTCTTGTAGGATAAGTAGCCTTCTTGGTCTGGGGAAGAAACTACAAGCCTTAATCTTATTTTACTTTAAAGAGATATTTGTATTTAGCCCAAATAATATTCTTTTATTAACATAGCTCTTTTATTTTAAGAGGTTAAAATAGGTTGGATTTTGGACATTCATTAAACATGTCATGTAATACATGAGGAGTTTCATAACAGTAAATTAGTACTCCCATAGAAGTGGTAGTACCAACTAGAAATAAGTCTAGTGGAAATCTTCAGAACCTAAAATTGAATCTGTCTGTATTCTGTATATGACCATCCCCCTGTTCACATAGAGCTTAGGATCTTATTGAAGAGATGGGATGAATGTCTGTAAAGTAAATAAAAATCCCAGTAGTGTGTGCTTAGTGCCACATAAGTGTTATAGCTGTGTTACAGACATTTATTGAGAACCTACACTGTGTTAGGCAATGGAGATAGGACAGAGAATAAGACACACTCCTACAAAACACTGGGCAAATGGGATTGTCCATCTGAGAAAGCTAAGGACCCATGTCAGGTGTTCAGAGACCATGGTCCTTCCACAAATGTAGAGTGAGCACCTGTAATGTATTGCATGACTTTATGTAACTTTTCTTTATCCCCCATGAAATTGCTCTAAAAGGATGACCCAGCTAGGGGGGCCACTGGCTGCAATAGAGTAGTTCCTTCTTGAGCTTAGTGTGGCCAGATGTTAAGTAGCAAGTGAGGTGTTGTCAGTGTAACTGACAAATGGAGAAACAGGCTCAGCACAAAGTGTGGATGGAATAAAGAAAATGCTACAGGCTTTTGAGGTTCATTTTACATAAGAACATGTCATTCCTCATTCTTGGATAATTGGACTGAATAAATGCAATATATGTCATTATATATGTACATATTTTACATAGTCAAAAGTTGTGAAATTGGTATCCTTTGGCTTCAGAGGCCTTATAATAGGAGGGTGCATGAGATATCAGTGAAACATAAAGCTTCACAACATGTTAATACCAGTTCAGATAATGAAGGTTGTCTATGAACAGTACTACTTGCCATGTGGGTAAGTCACACAATTAAGGCTGATTTCAAAAGAGGTAATGCTCTTTCTCTTGCAGTTTTCATAGAATTCTTGGTAGAGGAAGGGGAGATATGAGATAGAACTAAAGAGTGTATACAATGTATATAAACAGAAATAACTGACCTAGCCTTAATCCGGTGTATTAGTGTTCCTTTTAATTATTAAAAAAAAAAGTTCCAAAGGCTAAGAATAAGCATTTTTAAGAAATAGAAGGGGAAGGGATCTCAAAGGAAGCCCCTGTTAACTGTAGTAGTGATGGATGGGAGCTGTTTAATAACAGGTTTGAGATGATACTGAGAGATGGTGGCTGAGGCCATGCTCTTGGGTCACAGACAATTTAGAGGCACATCCCAATGTGTTACTCATTGTCCTGTGACTTCTGCCAGCCTGTTTTACCTACTAGGCATCCTCCACACTATCTTTGGTCTAGGTGCTCCTCAAAGGATCACAGAAATGTTGGAGATGTGGAATGCATGCTCTGCAAAACCAGATTTAATATATAGGTAACAAAAGCCACATTATAGTCTATAATCCAACCCAGTATTATTCAGTTACTGTATTAGGTAGGGTTCTTCAGAAAAACAGAACCAATATGGATCTAAATGTAGGAAGAGATTGGTTTTAAGAACTTGGCTCATGTCATTATAGAAGCGAAGAAGTCCCACGACCTGCTGTGTGTAAGATGGAGACCCAGGGAGGCTGGTGGCATAATTCAGAGTGAGTCCCAAGGCTCACTAAGAACCAGTGGTCAGTGGTGTAGATTCCAGTCTGGGTCTACAGGCTTGAGAACAAGGAGTGTTGAGGGCAGGAGAAGATTGATATCCCAGCTCAAGCAATTAGGCAGGAAGGGCCTAATTCTTCCTTCCTCCACCTTTTTTTTGGTTAAGATTTTTTTTTTTAATTTTTATTTATTTGACAGAGAGAGACATAGCAAGAACAGGAACACAAGCAGGGGCAGAGGGAGAGAGAGAAGCAGGCTTCCCACGGAGCAGGGAGCCCAATGTGGGGCTCAATCCCAGGACCCTGGGGTCATGACCTGAGCCAAAGGCAGACGCTTAACGACTGAGCCACCCAGGCGCCCCATTCCTCCACCTTTTTGTTCTATTCAGGCCCTCAACGGGATTGGTGGATGCCCACCTGCACTGGGGAGGGCCATCGGCTCTGCTACATCCACTGCATCACATGCCACTCTCATCTGGAAACACCCTCACAGACACACCCAGCAACCATGTTTAGCCCAATATCTGGGTACCTCATGATCCAAGTCAAGTTGACACATAAAATTAACCACCACATGTATAAAGAACACAATAAAGTTTAAATCACAAGGGCAAAATAATATGTGCATAAGACAACATTCTTATGAAATTTACATCAAAAAAGTTGTATTTAATGGAGACTATGGGTACATTTTGATCTATTTGACATGATGTGGTTTGGGGTCTTAAAAAGTAAAAGTGTCTACGGGCAGAAAAAGATCTTAAATGTGCCCACATGAAATGTCTCTTTGCCTACTGCAACTGTCTGTAGGGTTGTTGCAGGGGAGAATTTAGCTAGTACATCTGGAGTACACGTGATGGTTTTACTGAAAATGTTAGCTTAGACTAATAGTTATCATTCACCAGGACATTCTTTTAAATGACCATACATAATGTTAAGTTGAAGCATTTTTTTTCTGATTTTATTTGCAGTAGTCTGTTACTGGTATCAAAAAGATTAAATACTTTCCAAAAAAAAAAAAAGATGAAATACTTTTATAGTTGCTACACAAGTTCATTTAACTGGACGCATCAGTATGCTAGGGTAAATCTGGATTTGGTAAAAGGCGAAAGATTTATACGATCTGAAGAGAAACCAGAGTATTAAATCTGGATTTGGAAGAACCGTGGTTAATGGAAGATTTCTAGACATAACACTGCAAGACGATTCTAGAAATTGGCACATGAATACAAGATGTTATTCTGCCCCTTTTTGTGGCATCAAAGAACTACACCAAAAAAGGTATAAAAATAAACACCTTTCCTTCAAAGTGCAGGATACTGCCTGGCTAAGTTTAATTGAAAAACTAATATCCAGTGCAATTGTCTGTGATAAGCTGAGGCTTAAATGATTTGAAAACACTCTGGGAGCAGACAGATCAGATAATCACCATCTTTATGGCTGGGAGGGTTCAGCTGGTGATGACAAGTTGTAAAGGTAAAAGCTTATTGCAAAGGCAAGAGCTAAATGTCTAGATTGGGTTGGGGAATCAATGTTAAATAATACTCAAAGTGTAAAAAGCAGTGAATGCCAAATGATCTCTCATAGTGTTCTGTTTTGTTTAACTTTTCAAGATGATAGCGCAGAACTTTATTTACTGAAAACTTGTTTCCTTAATGTCATTAGGTGGATGCCTTAAAGTGTTAGGGTATCCTCCACCATCCACCCACTGCCTAGATATTGGATATGTTCTGTAATTTGTGCCCTGCACTGCAATCAGAGGGCATCAGCTGCTGCTTTTCAAAACATCTCCAGTTGGGTGACTATTAATAGTTGATGAGAGACAAGTGTTAGATTGTGCCATTTCTTAGGCATCTTCTTCTTCTTTTTTTTTAAGTCAACATGGTATTTGCCTCATGGCCTCACTCTGATCTCCGCAAGAACACTTTCAAAAGAAGTACCTTGTTTTTTCGAAAGCTGTTTGCATGAGTTGATTCAGTGCTCCCTTATCATGGAGTGAAAGCCAAGGGCAAAATATGCGCTTTGGGTTGTGTGAAGGATTCACCCTACACTTAGCTCCACTCACTGTGTTGTGTGTGCCCCCAGGTGACATGTCCAAACTCTCCAACCTCTGTTTGCTTTTTTCTTTTGTTTACAGGAGCGGAGGGCACAGTGTTCCCTAAATCTATAGAGACACCTAATGTCAGGGCAGACCCCTTCAAGGAACTAAGGTAAACTTCTGACTATGGTTTGCATTGATTAGTGGCTATTTCCTTTGGGCAACTGGCTGATGATCCATTCTGAGCATTTGGAATGTAACAGTGTCATAACATGAATATACAAACTGGTAGAGATTAGAAAGGGTGTGAAGATAAGCTACATCCAAGAGAAAATTCTCTCTGAGAAGAAGACTGAGGGTTTGGAGGAAGAGGTTGCCAGCCTTGTAATTAGGAGATTCGGGATTCATTCGTTCACGGTGTTTTATTTCCTGCTGTGTTTTGTGGTACCCAAAACCTAACCAGTTACACAACTAGTCAGTAATTGGTGCTGATCAGCCCAAAGAAAAGTGGTACCTGAAAGAAACTGAACTCTAAAAACTATACAGATTTTTGCTTGTGTGTAACAAGCTCTCCATCACTTGGACCGTTAATGGTACTAGAACTACTTTCTGTGAATATTCCATGTACTGGTGTTAATCTTCAAATATCCATAATTTTGCTGCCTTTAGCAGAAAAAGGCTCTGAGATGCTGTGTACTTAGCACCAACAACTAAAGAAAACAAAAAAGAACAATAGGTACAGACAGACAGAGATAAAGATACGACCTAAAAACCATCCCTGGTTCCAAAAAGGAAACATAAAAAAATGGTATTTTGAAACAAATATAACTATATGTTTTGCTATATATGATGCAGGTAGGCCAGGAGCCAGAGGGGGCTCCCACAAAACCCAGCTAAGAGGCTCCTTAGCTTCATGCAGGATAGGAATCAAATGCGAGTTGGGGGAGTGAAAGCAGAATTTATTGAATAGCAGGAGGGACAGACAGAAAATAGCAGATGGAATGGAGTTTCTGGGAGACTCAGAAAGGAAAGGAGAAGGAGTCTCAATGTCACTTGGGGTTAGGGGCTTATATTGGAAAGGGGTCTAAGGTGTGTGTTCCTCCAGGAATCCAGAGTAGGGTCTGATCAAAGGCAAGTGTCAGGCGAACAGCAGGTGTCATTCCACAAATCACTGAGGTAGGTAGTGTTGATGCCATCGTTGGCCAAGGTATGTCAGAAGCTAATATCCTGGGACATGTTTGGGATCCGGCTCTTCTTAGATGTTATCAGGTGTTAGGGACCTAGGACAAAACTCAGAGAATGATTAACTCTCTAGCTTCCCCCTTGAAGTGGGAACATAGCTTCTTTGGCTAATTCAGAAACAGGACCTAGCAGAAAAACAGCAGACATGGAGCCCATTCTAAAGTGGAGTCCCTTCAGCTTCCCTACCTCACCTATAGTCATGAACAATTCAGCACATACTGGCTTTCTTCATTTCTTATAGTTCTTTTCACTAAAACCCCTCATAAATCATTATCAATAACATTGCATATTTAATAGTAGACCTCAAACATTACCAAATGTGTTCGGAAGAGGATAATTCATAGAGAAAGAGAACATTTTCTTATCAAAATCCCATATACAGTGGGCTGTAGTTTTCACATTATACGCCCCATTGAAAGGCTTTACTTTTCCCTAGAAGAGTTGCTTCCCTCTGAGGGCTGCTACCTGCCAGAAGTTACCTGACTCTCTGTCAGCCAGATCCTGTGTTTCATATTAGGTACTAAAGCTGGAATCTTTGCAGCAAATCCACCCAAGGAAACCTATATTTTAGGACTCGGAGAGCAAGCTCATTCTCTGAGAATGCAGTGAATCCTCATGTGTGTGATGTGAGAGCCCTTTGAAACAAGGTAATATGTGGGCTGGTTCCCTTTCTTTTCACAGACCTCCTTAGGAGCAGGGTTCTTTTTTTTTTTTTTTTTGCAGGGTTCTTTTTAACACAACTAGTCAGTAATTACTGCTGATCAATCCAAAGAAAAATGCTGTCTAAAAGAAGCTGACCTAGAAGCGCCTGAGTGCCTCAGTCAGTTAAGCTTTGGACTCTTGATTTGGGCTCAGGTCATGATCTCAGAGTTGTGAAATCAAGCCTCACATCTGGCTCCATGCTCAGCAGGGAGTCTGCTTTTCCTCTCCCTCTGCTCCTCCCCCTGCTCTCTTTCTCTCAAATAAATAAGTAAAATCTTTAAAAAATAAATTTTAAAAGATAAAAAATAAAAGAAACTGTCCTCTAAATATAATACAGCACCCCCCCACCCCCCACCCCCCCATGAAATAAGCTCTCCATTACCTGGAAGGCAAGGAAAGTTTAAGAATCAAGAATTTAGGCTAACTTTGCTTTAAAACAGAAAACTAAATCTTCTGTGAATAAAAACAAACCCAACCCACATCAAACAAAAAGACAACTCTCCAAACATCAGCCCACTTTAGAGATCCATATTCTGAAAAATCGAGAACGGGTGATTTGCTCATAGAGCGCAATAGCCGTACTTAACGGTCATCTGTAGACCCTGTGGAAAACCCTGGGAACTGGCCTTAGAAAAAACTGAATTTCCAAAATTAGAAGTGAATCTCCTAAGTGCAACAAATAAGGACTTCTGGTAGTTGCTGCATTTCCATTATTTATTCTCAAGTTGTAGACATATTCTATAGAGACTAGAAATAAAATTTTCTTACGGGAAACATAAAAACACTTTAATATGTAATCCTACAACTGTTTGTTTCTTTGCTCCTATTCAAATTGTGTTGATGGTTGATAGCCTAAAGTGAGTCAGGGCCTAGAATGTGATAATTAGCCCCTTCATCCTTATGATTTTTTTTTTAATTTTAATGGCACTCTGTGGGAGAATGTATGACCAATTGTAAGATAATCCAATGTAGTAGATACATTAGTCCAGCCCAGTGCATCTGTGGATGTTTCACATTTGTCAGCAAATGGTGCCACGTTTTACTCTAGGCAATTGAATGGTATTGACCTTGGATATTGAATAAATAGGTAACGAACGTTTTCCGGCCTCTGGCTTTACAGTTGGATCAGTTGTACTGACCCAGTTCATTTGTGCCCATGTGTCTTCTAGTCTTAGGAAAGTAGAATAATCTGAGGGAGATTCCTGGATTTGTGCCAGCAGGTAGCACTGAGTGAGCTGTGTAGGTGAAGCAGAAGTGGTTCACTCCTCAGGAGCAGCACAACAGAGTTGGAGGAGTACCAAGCTGGGGGGCAGATACCTACAGCAAACACACCATGTAGCCTTGAGCTAATCTGGGAGCCCTGATGTCTATACAAAGCCAGGTCACTCTCAGCTCCAAACTTCAGGCTCACATTATTTTATTTAGGCTCACTTTTATTTTAAAATAATTTTAGATTAAACGAAGAATTGCAATAATCATACATATTATTCCCCTGAACCCTTTACCTAGGATTTCTGATGGTAACATTTTACATATTCATGATATGTGTATCAAAACTAAAAAATTAAGATTGTAGCCCCATAATATTTTTGTGTAAGATCTGCTGAAAAGGATGCAATCACCTGAATTTCTTACAGATCCAAAAAATGTGTAAAAAAGGAGTTTAACAGAAAAGTTATTTGTTGAGACATGAATTAATGGATCTTGAAAACTCCCACTGCAGTTAAGTTGGAATGTTTTTAATGAGAAGCGTTTTGTTTTGTTTTGTTTTTTAAATCATGTTCTCTACCCAGATTTTCTTGGTCTTTTTTTTTTTAAGATTTTATTTATTTATTTGAGAGAGTGAGAATGAGAGAGAGAGAGAGAGCGCACATGAGAGGGGGAAGGGTCAGAGGGAGAAGCAGACTCCCCGCTGAGCAGGGAGCCCGACGTGGGACTCGATCCTGGGACTCCAGGATCATGACCTGAGCCGAAGGCAGTCACTTAACCAACTGAGCCACCCAGTCTTGGTCTTGTCAATGCAAAGCAAATTGAGTTAAAAGACTACAGGTTATTTATGCATAGACCATCTTCTGCAATGAACAAGCAAAAATTAAATCCATCTATGTCCTTCACTTACTCAAAAAATCAAACATGGGAAAATACCATCTATTTTAGAGACCTTCTCTGTTGGTATAACTTCTTTCTTCCAACGTCTGTTTTCGGCTTTTGAAGGCTTTTTGTTTTGTTTTGTTTGTTTGTTTGCTTGCTTGCTTGCTTGCTTGCTTGTTAATGAGAAGGAAATTTTAGGCCTCCTGCACATCTTCTTAGAAGATCTCAACCCTCAGCTCAAGGAGTGGTAGCTTCTTCTCTGCTAGAGTTTCAAGTTTCGGTTCACTACTTTCCTTTTCAGAATTACTATAGTTACTGTATTCATAGTGTTTGCTTAAGATGTTTGTAAATAATCCAGGGTAGAATTGAAAATCACAAAAGAGGGTTGCTTCTCTCCAGACAAATAATCAGTGTTAGCAAGGTCTAAGCCCAGCATCCAACTCGGGCGGTTTGTTGAGTTTGCCTCTGTGGGACAATTCTGAAATAATGACATGTTGCTCTAGATTCAAGACTCTACTGAAGACATCTACCAGGCACTTGGCCTATCTCTTGAAATCAGAAAAACTAACTTGGAATAGAAACTGGATTTTAATAAATTCACAATCTGAAATTCACAATCTGCATATATTAAATGTTCACTTGTTCATTATTTCTTTTTCCGGGTGTCTGTATATATAAAGGCAAATGGAAAAATCCCTGATCTCAGGCTGTGCATGATCTGAGATGGGAAATGGGCCATTTAGTTTTGCATATGGATTTTCTGTAAGAACAGAAGCTACCTTTGAATGCCTACCTTGCTCTAAGGATTCTTTTCAACTGTGAAGCTTCCCTGTAAGATTCTGATCCTATAAGAATAGGAAATAGACTGCGAAATCTTATTTCCCAGACATATGCCAGGGCAAATGTAAAAAATGGGAGAAGGTTACATAGACCACTGAACACATATAGCCAACTCTGTTCCTCTAGATATCACTAAAAGCTTGGAAGGAACCACAAAAGAGCAAGAAGCCAAAAGGTCTTTATAAAAGAATTCTTCATCAGCTAATGTGCTGACATGCTTTTACTCTCCACACAGTTATGACATGGGTGATGACCTGATTTCCGTTTCATCACAGCTCAGGGAACTGTTTGCCAGGTAGATTTTTTGACACTTATTAGGAGTCGAGGCATCTGCTAAATACTTAGAATACAGAGATAAATAAATGAGTACTCAACTAGTTTGTAGTTAAGGAGAATAAGATAGAAAGGCACCCAAAAATACAAGGTAATATAAGTGATAGAAGAGATATATGAACAAAGCCAGAGGAAACCCTGGGAATGACACACAGGATTCTACCTGAGACTGTTAAGTAAGGCTGCCCATCTTTATTTGTAAGATGAAAGAAAAAAACAGTAAGTGAGCCTCAGAATTTAAAAAGTGTGGTTCCCTAGGTTCACTTAATGCAAGGACAAATAGGCCAATGGGTTTCTGTAGCTCCCAAGAATATTACCGTGTCATTGACAAAAATGAGGTTCAGTAATTTCCTTATGACAATTGTGTTCTTTAATAAATCAATGTGAAGGCAATCTCAAATATGATCACAGAAGACTTTAATGATTGTTACAAGTTTCAAAGTTCAGTCCATAACATCATTCAGAACTGAAATAGTCACTAATACCAAACCCATTCTGCAGCCTCAAATAAATAAGACATTGTTACTGTGGGGTTTTTTCCCCCTACAACATTACCAGAGTTTTAATAATAAAGCAGAAAATTCAAAGATATATCTGACTTGAATATTCTGTAGGATTTTTTTCTTAATGAATAGATACTAATCTGAACTCTTTGGGAATGTGTGAGATTTAAAGTCTGTGTATATCACAGGAAAACAAGCATCAGACACCACTTCCAAGTTGACAAAAATGAATTTATTTCTTTAAATTTATTTTAAAATGGCTGTAGCCAATTAAATATTTATTTGATTCTCAGTGATTTACAAATTGAAGCTACCAGAATAGTCTGTCATAGCATCACAGTTCAATTAATACTTGGTAATCCCTCTCCCTTCCCTTGTCCCCCTCAAAAGTCACAATAGCAAATTTGGAGAGGCAGTCTGATTTTTGAATTATATAAATATAATATTCATGTTTATCATTTTATACATATATTACATATATGCACATACGCATATGTACATATATTAAACATATATATACATACGTATCTATTTTATATATATAGGCATATAGAGAGACTGACAGAGAC